TTCTGTGATTTCCAGATTTCTTGAAGTACAGTCGTTGGGGGGCAGACAGGTCTTCCCAGTAGAACTTCGTAAGAGCCACAGAACATTTCTTTCTTTCTTTTTTTTTTGGTACCAGGGATCGAACTTGGGTCCTTGCTCTTGAGCAGCAGGCGGTGAAACCAGAGCTAAATCCCTGGCCCTGTAATTCATTTTTTTTGTAATCCCCCTACCACATCAAACCCAGGATCCTATGCTTGTGAGGCAGGCGAGGTGCCACTGAGCTAAATCCCCGGCCCTGTAATTTTTTTTGTTCTGTTTTGTTTTATTTTTTTTTAATTTTTATTTTTTTATTTTTTTGGTACCGGGGATTGAACTTGGGTCCTTGCGCTTGCACAGCAGGCGGCGAAATCACTGAGCTAAATCCCCAGCCCCTGGGGCCCTGTAATTTTTAAATGTATGTCTCCCTTGATAGACTGCAAGCTTTATATAAGGGTGGGCAGAGGCTGCATGTGTTGTGTTCACTACAATATAGCACACGGCAACACAATGTTGGCAATATCTGAGCCAGTCAATATCTGAGCCATCTATGTAAGATTTCTATGGTTGAATTCCATCCCAGCAAGACACAACCAAAAACTCTTGCACATCTGTTTTCAGCTACACTCCAGAAAGCACTGTATCTCTCAGTACACAGATCTGAGTACCATTTCTCACACAGATCCCAATATCTGGATACTGACCTAAGGAAACAGGGACAGGAAGACTTCAAAATGGCTGAGCAGAATCTTTACTGCATCTCTACATTTCCATCACTTAGATCTTCTTCGAAAGGGGAGATAAATAGAGAGGGAAAAAGCAACAAGTGAGATATAAGTTCCTTACCATCCTTATCCTTTTATCTGCAAAATTAAAATGGAGATCTAGAATGCTATGCTACCAGGCAATCCAAAAATGTTTTAACATTTTAACATTACAAGGAACAAGACCTCAGAAACATGTACAAAGTAACCAAAATGTACTGTCTTAAGGACAGTTGCACAGGCAAGGAAGGTATTAAGGAGAATTCTGATGGCAACCTAGAGCCAAATACTTTTTTACTTTTTCATTTTATAGCAGTGCAGCGGGAAGAAAGAGGGAAACAGATGCAGGACAGAGGGAAATGGCTGAGGGCCACTAATAAATACTGCATGCTGACAAGGTTGCGCTGCCAAACTTGAGGCAAGAATAATCAGTCGGTAATCAAAGCGGAGAAAAGACAGGCTATTAGATCAATGCTTGACAGGACAGGAAGAGACAAAAAGGAGGAAGAGCACAAAAACATATCTATGAGCACTATCTGTGAGGTAGAAATGGCAGCCAAAAATGTTAGGAAAGCTCAAGGGACACCAGATAACATTCTGGTGGTAGGGGGAAAATGAGGAGAAGCAGGTTTTAAGAAGGAATGATAACCAGCAGAGGGAAGATAAGCCTTCAGGGCAGTATGCAGTGAAGCATTCACAACTGAAGCTGGACAATCTACTTCACTACTTTTAACTGAATCGTCTCCCTCTGCACCAATTTCCCCACTATTTTCAAAGAGCCCTCTCTGCTTGGATTTGCTACAATTTTATTTTTACATTTGCATAGAAATGTGTATTTAATATCACTTAGAGACTCAAATCTATCATTTGTTGCTAAAAGTTGACTGAGTAAGGGTAGCAGACCATATGTTCCCCCCCCCATTTTTTTTGGTACTGGGGATTGAACTCGGGACTTTGCACTTGCACGGCAGGTGGTGGAACCACTGAGCTTAATCTCAGGCCGTTCTCCCTCCTCTTTTTTTTAAGACAGGGTCTTGCTCTGTAATTCAGGCTGGTCTTGAACTATGTAGGCCAGGCTGGCCTCAAACTAAGCTATCCTGTGTCAGTCTCGTGAGTGCTGGGATTACAGGCCTGTGCCACCACGTCTGGCTTCCCTTTAAGGATGAATTTAAATCAGGCATGGTAGCACACACCTGTGATCATAGTACTCTGGGAGGCTGAGGCAGGAGGATAGCAAGTTCAGGCCCAGCGTGGTAAATTAATGACTTAGTGAGAATCTGCCTCAAATAAAAACTAAAGGCCCTAGGTTTAATCCCCAGTTACCCCCACCCACCCCACAAGTAAAAGATTTGGAGCCTGGTATGGTGGTACACGCCTGTAATGCAAGCACGTGGGCTGAGGTAGGAGGATCAAAAGTTCAAGGACAGTCTTCGCAATTTAGAGAGACCCAGGTAACAACGACAACAACAACAAAAGGGATTTAGGCCTCCTAGCGGGTACAAAGTTCTCAAGAGCCCAGACCTGTAAGCCATAGGTCTGCTATCAGAAGTTACTTTCCCTTCTGTTGAGACCTCTTCAACTCAAGGGCTCTGGTTTTGGCTTTTAAAAATGTTAAGGATGGCCAAAGACAGTGGAGTATGCCTGTAATCCCAGTTACTTGGGAGGTGGAGGATCTCCCTGGGAAAACGAATGAGACTTTGTCTCAAAATAAAAAATGAAAAGGGTTGGGGAATATTAGCTCAGTAACAGAATGCTCTTGGGTTCAATTTCACTTATCCCCCACTCCCACAACAAACAGAAAACAAAACAAAAAAACCCAGCACACACACAAAATTTTGGCTTAATAACCAAAGTCCAGAGCTGTGCTTTTAAACTGTGCTCAAGCGGGGCATGGTGGTACATGCCTATAATCCCAGCATTTGGGAGGCTGAGGCATGAGGATCATTGTGAGTTCAAGGCCAGCCTGGGTTACACAGCACATTCAAGGCTGAACTACATAACACAATCCTGTCTCAAAAAAACCAAAACAAAAAACAATCTTTGCTCTACAGAGATACCTCTACGTTACAGAGGCAGCAGAGCAGGAGGTGTTCAGCCTTCCTGAACTCATTTCCATCTGAGCATACTGCTTTACATACTGTACCAGGGTTCAAGGTAAAAATTGTTAAACCCTTTTAAAACTTTCTTTTTTCTTTCACACAGTACTGGGGATTGAACCCAGAGCCTTTAACCTACATCTCCAGTGCCCTTTAAAAATTTTTATTTTGGGCTGGGGACTTAGCTCAGTGGTTTCATCGCCTGCTGCGCAAGCGCAAGGACCCGAGTTCAATCCCTGGTACCAAAAAAAACCAAACAAACAAACAAAAATTTTTATTTTGATTTGATCCCCAGTACCAAAAAAAAATTTTGAAATTTTGAAATAGGATCTCACCAAGTCACTAAATTGCCCAGGTGGGGCTTGAATTTGCAATCCTTCTGCCTCAGCCCCCTAGAGTGCTGGTATTTACAGGTGCACACCACCACATTTGGGTTCTTTGAAATGTTTGGAAAGAGTCAAGCATGTGGTGCAAGCATGTATGCTGTAATCACAGCACTCTGGAGATTGAGGCAGGGGAATCACAGGGAGGTGGAGGCCATTGTGGCCTACAAAGTGAACATAAGGCTAGCATGGATTAAATAGCGAAACCCTCACTCAAGAAAAAAAAAATCACAAATCTAGATAACGAAAATATTGCTTTGAATGTATAAGGTAAGTAGTTACTGCAAGTTATATTTCAAACCACCCAGTTTTTTGTTGTTGTTTTTACAGTGCTGGGGACAGAACACAGCGCCTTGATATGTTAGGCAAGCACTGTACTGGGCCACATCCCTAGCCCACAAACCACTGTTTTAGGTTTCTGAATTTTTCTCTTAATTTAGAAGGTTTTCCATTGGCATTGGGGATTGAATCCAGGGCCTTTGCACTGAACTACATCCCTGACGCCCTCATACCCCCTAAATTTTCACTCAAGGTCTGGCTAAGTTACTAAATTATACAGGCTAGGCTTGAATTTGCACTCCTACTGCCTTGGCCTTCCTGAGTCCGGCAAAAATACAGGATTTTTTTTTTTTTTTTTTTTTTGGTACCGGGGATCGAACTCGGGTCCTTGCGCTTGCAAGGCAGGGAGCGGAACCACTGAGCTAAATCTCCGGCCCCAAAATTCAGTTTTTATATATCCTCTTCCCATCCTTACATTTTTTTCCCCATCCTTATTTTGATACTAAAGTAGACGTTTAAGAGTCAACCAGGTGTGCCACCTAACTCAAGCCTCTGAGAACCGTGGAAAATTTATATAAAGTAATTACACAGTCCATGTATTGATGGTCTATTTTTCATTAACGACAATCAAACTCAGCAAGATTAAAACCGGGAGTATGTAGACTGGCTCACGTCAATAAGGCTTTTAAGAGCACTAAGACTGACAGGTGGAAGCAAAGGCAAGAGCTTTTCTTACAGTAACCAGAAGACTTAGTAGCACATTTCCTAACGGGAAGGGCTTCTCCGCCCGGGGACGGCCTTTGCTTCCTTCGTTTTCAAGAGACGAGTACAATCCTGACTTTGGGTTAACCTCTGAGTCCCTGATCTCAGTGGAATGGTAGGATTCCTCTAGGCAAGTAGATCAGGAGTCGGGTCGCCTCTTTCCGTCTTTGGGATAATAAGGGCAAACGAAAAGGCAAGCTTGGGCGTTGTGGAGAGTGCGACAGCAAAGCGGGGAAAAGGGACAAAATCTGAGGCGTCCGGCGACCCCCGGGCCTGTCAGCTCCTCACCATCCACCCACTCCCATTCTTTAGTTTAAACTTACCAGGTGGAAGCTATAGCCTCCGGCAAGGAGTAACTGAGTTGAATCAAGTCGCGCTCCGCTGCGCTTCTTACAGCCGCTTCTGTAAAGAGGCTGAAAACCAGCGGCTGCTGCCGTCTCCACCGCCTCTGTTACTAAGGGGTCTCGCCTCCATCGCTGGCTGCGAGGTCTCTGAGGGCACGTGACCGGAAGTACTAAGGCAGAGCTTGTGGGACACGTGACCCAAGAACGCGGCCGCCATGACACCTTCCGCTCTTTCCCTCCCTCCCCCACCTGTTCCCGCCTGTTTCGTCTCCTCTGTCTGGTCTCGGGCGGTGAAGAGTTCTGGGTTCCGACGTGGCCCACCCATTTGGCCTATTGGTCTTCCGGTCTCAGTCAGCGGCGTGTCTTCAGCTCTCAGCGGCCCACCGACTGCAGGCCGTAGGGAGTGTAATTGCGACCGCGGCCTCAGGGGGAGGGACCACACGCAGGGAGGGGCGTAGCTGTCACGTGACGAGGAAGTGCCGTTAACCGCGTTGTCCCTGTCGCTCCTGAATGGCGTAAGACGGGGACGGCGGAGCGAGGAGGAGACTGAAGTTCAGGTTCCGCTGTCAGTGCGGCGTGAGTGACGGGGCCCTGAGCCCAGAAAGTAAATCGACGGAATTGGGAGCCGCAGGCCTGGATGCGGTGGAGCGGAATTGGGACCTCTGGGCTGCTGGTCTCTGAGCCTGGCTGTGAAAACTTGATAATCCGGGGCTCCTCGCTTCAGGACAGCTGAATGCAGTATTAGAGTTACTGCTCTTAAAAAGGTAGTAGATTCGCTTGATGAGTTTCTTGGGGTCAGGAACTATTTTGTTCATCCTTGTATCTCCCTCGGTGCATACAGGTTGAATGCATGAAATAATGAGTACGCTATTTCTCTTGAGAGGAGTTCTCTGATCATTATTTCTTGCATAGAAAACTCCCTTTATGGAAATAAAATCTGTTCTTTCCCCTTGGGATCACTACAATTTTTGTTCCTTTCCTTATCCCTTTTGCCTCCTTCTCCTCCCACGCAACTAGTGGGCCTAAGACAACGCAGTGATTTGGATTTACACTACTATCAAACAATCTGGGGAAATGGAAAGATGATTCGACCTGTATTTAGGAAATGTGTATTTTAGTGTCAGCTCTACGTCGTATAATCTTTCTGACCCTTGGACAAGTCAGCCTTTTAAGAAGTTATTTCGCTGATATTTCTCACTGCCTTCCTTGATTTTAATTTTTGGTTAAGCTACAGTTGCACTCTTTCATAGGAATAACATTTACACTCAGAAAGATAGTTTTGTTAGATGGAGGAAGATTTAGCAAACAGCATACAGTACGTTAAATCTCGGAGGCACATGTTTGTAGATTGAAAGAGGAACTCAAGGTAGTCCGGTATAGTTGGAGAGGGTAAGGTGGGAAATGAAGCTGGGAAAGAATGAGAGATGGGATCACATTATGTAAGGGAGCTGTTGAAGGTTTCTTGTGCTTTTAGCTACTACAGTAGTAGTTACAAATTTAAGTCTCCACTATTCAGAAAGTGGAGAGGTTTCGTCTTTTTCTCACAAGGCTTCTTGAATATTGAAATGCCTTCTCTTCCTCACCACCCATCACTTTTTTTGTGTGTATGTGTGGTACCGGGGATTGAATTCAGGACCTTGTTCTTGTGAGGCAGGTGGCTGTGCCACTGAGCTAAATCCCTGGCTCTACCCATCACTTTTTTCAAGTCCTTGTTTTCTGGTGTCTGCCCACAACACTTTACCAAAATGATGTGACCTCCAATCACTAGTACTTTTCTGTTGCCTACCAAAGTTTTAAGTTTCTTAATTTCAGGTTAAGAGTGGGTTTTTTGTTTGTACCGGGAATCAAACTCAGGACCTTGCACTTTCGAGGCAGGTGCAGGGCACCACTGAGCTAAATCTCCGACTCTTTTTTTGTTTTTTTGAGACATGGTCTTGTTTTGTAGTTCAGGCTGGCCCTAAACTCATTGTGTAGCACAGGCTAGCCTCGAACTACAGGTGATCCTCCTGGTTCTGCCTCCTGAGTGCTGGGATCACAGGCATGCACCACCACACCCAGTGGTTCAAAGTGTTGTACACTTTGGTTCCAAGTTACTATTTCACTTTTGTTTTCTTTTTTCTTTCTTTTGGTTCTGGGAGGTAGGCACAGTGCCGTTGAGCTAAATCCCCAGCACACTATCCCACCTTTTATCTTTCCTTATTACATTGTATTCTGTGTTTCAACTAAAGATTAAACCTGCATTCTCCCTATATATTTTCTGTTTATATATCTTTGCTTATCATTGCCTGCTACCTTTTTTCTTTTCTTTCTGATTCAAGACTTGGTACTGGTGCTATAGTTCCCTTTAACTCAGTGTCATCCCTCTGTTCTCTAAGTTCTGAAAGAGCACTTCATTTATTTTTTCCCTTATGAGATCTCTGTCTCTGTGTGTATGTATATGGTATTTGCCTTTTCCCCCCTATTTGATTAAAAGGTGATTTCTGGAGTTGTTTTGCTTATCTTGTTTCCACCCCTGTGCTTCGTATTTTACAAGCTACTTAATGAGTAGAAAAATGAGAGGTGAATTTTCTTTTTTTTGTACCAGAGATTGAACTCGGGTCCTTCTGCTTGCGAGGCAGGTGATGGAACTGAGCTAAATCTCCGGCCTCTAGATGAATTTTTTTTTTTTTTGGTACCAGGGATTAAACTCCAGTCCTTGCGCTAGCGCAGCAGGCGTCAAAACCACTGAGCTAAATCCCCGGCCCCAGATGAATTTTTTTAACATTTGGAATTCTCAAATATTTTGAGTATAGGTGTACTAAATTTTTCGTTGTTTTTAGACCATTCTCCTTACAGATGTCAGGCTATGCTAAGACCAGTATTACAGAAAATAAGACTACATTATACTGTGTGTATACAATTGAAAAAAATCACAAGGGCTAGGGATGTAGCTAGCTCAGCAGTAGAGTGCTTTGCCTAGCATGCATAAGCTCTTGGATTCCATCTCCAGCACTGCAAAACCAAACCAACAAAAAATGAAGCAAAACCCATAAGTGTGTGAACATTTTTTTTTTTTTTTTTTTTGGTTCTGGGGATCAAACTTAGAACCTTGCGCTTGTGAGACAGGCAGCTGCACCACTGAGCTAAATCCCCAGGCCAAAACTGTAAGTTTGTATGTGCTTTCCACTAGGGTGTACTTTTCATAATTAGGGCACTGTTTTGTCCTACCCTGTTATCTCCAGGAGGTGGAGCAACGCCTGGCATGTAGGTAGTGTACAGTGTATATTTGTTGAATAAAAGAATAAATGAATACACATTTCTGAAAAAAAGACAAGAACAAAATATAAACAAAAAGTATAAACAGTTGTTTATAAGGGCTGGGGATTTAGCTCAGTGGCACTGGATATGCCTCACAAGTGCAAGGTCCTGAGTTTGATCCCTGGCACAAAAACCAAAACAAAACAAAAAACCAGCCAAACAAACAAAAAAAACAGTTGTTTATGATTGTTTTCTGTAAAATTTGCTTGTTTTTCTTAATTTGGCAGGTAGCAAAAGATTGAGAAAAATAAAATTAATGGGTAGACTTTTTTTAAAAGTTCCCTTTAATGTTTTCTGGAAATTGGTGCCATTTGACAAAAAAATGTGCCAATGAAAGTAGTTGAACAGATAATAACTCTTGTGTTAGTTTACTCATTGGGTGTTTGACATTTTTTACCTAGTGTTCTCCCCCCGCCCCATCAGATGCTACCTTGTATTCTTATCCCTATTCATTTCCATCTGGTTTCATTTATTCAAGTTGTTATTTTTTTTGTGCTAATTACCTTCACCTTCTCATTTGGTTCATTGTTTGATTCATTCAGCATACCCATTCACTTCTGGTAGCTAGAGAGATACAGAGGACTATATTGCTGTTAAGCACTGTGAAATTGTTTGCTGATAATTTTAGTTTTTACTGATGAGAGTTTATAATTTGGGACCTTTACAGAAAGTTACATTTTAATGAGAAACTCCTAAAGACAGAGAAGATTTACAATTCGAAGAAATACAACAGGGCTGCTCCTTCACCTTCAAGAGAGTTTGGCCAGTTTTTCTTGTAAGTCCTGCTGTGTCCACTTGACCTACGCATGCTGTTAGATAATGCAGTGGAGTAGGATTACGGAGGGCCTTGAAATTGCAGACCTGACACTGTCAGTTTTCTAGTCAGAGAATGACACTGAACACACTGTTGCGTGAAGCTGTCCCGCTCCCTGTGTGTGTTTTCCCAGCCCCTCCAGAGTAGATAGAGATGGTTGTCCCTTTCTTGTGTTTCCCTGTTTTTCTCACACATTCATTAAATGCTGCTGAATAAATGGTGATCTTCTTAAATTAATTTTTACAGGTTTTATTCAGGTGAGGAATACTGTGGTTATAACTGGACAGCCTCTCTTTTCTGGCTAAATGACTTTTGTGCCCACGATCCCAGAGTCTTACAGCCATGTTCTCGCGGAGCTTGAGTCCCTGGACCCGTTACTTTCAGCTCTGCGGCTGGACTCCAGTCGTCTAAAGGTAAACTTCTTGGTCCCTGTATTAATTTTTTTTCTTTTTTTGGTATTAGCGATTGAACCCTGGGGCAATTTACCACTAACCTATATCCTCTATCTGGAGTTATCTCAAATTTGTGATCTCTTTGCTTCAGCCTCTTGAGTGGCTGGAATTACGAGCTTGGGCCACCATGCCCAGCTCATATTCCTATTTTTTCGTGCCGTCACATTTACCCCTGCCCTCTAGTTCTTTATGTTTTGTGGAATCTTGAGTGTTCTTATGTGTCCTTGTCGTACGTTACATGGAAGTAGCACATTCGTACTTCTTTCTTGATTTATTTATTTTGTTTTTTTGAGCTATGTAATTCAGGCTGACCTTGAACTCACTGTTGAGCCCAGGCTGGCCTTGAGCTTGCAGCAATCCTCCTGCCTTTGCCCCCAGAGTGCTGGTAGTACAGGCATGCACCACCATGCCTGACTCTTAATTTAAATTTTTTTTTGTACCAGGGATCGAACTCAGGTCCTTGTGCTTGCAAGGCAGGTGGCAGAAACACTGAGCTAAATCCCTGGCCCCATTCTTATACTTTTACTACCACCCCAAAGTACATTTCTAATCTCTGGGGAAGGGGAGACTAAGAAGTAATGGGCAAAATAATATGAGCAACAGTTGTAAGGATTGATATCAGAAATGTTGTTTTAGCTGCAAGTTACAGAATACAGTACCACATAAATAGTGGTTTACGTAATAAAGACTTTATAGTCTCGTTGAAGTCAGTGTTGCTTTGTTAAGTACAGTGGCCCATTGCTGTTACTGAGGATACAGGCTCTCCACCTTTCCTTTTCTGCCATCATCCGTATGTTGGCTTTTAGGGACAGTTGTAGTGTATGTATCCCGACTCCAGTCTTTTGTTTTTATTTTTTGAGACGGTCTCGCTATGTAGTTCAAGCTGGCCTTGAACTCACTGTGTAGCCTAGGCTGGCCTCAAACTCACAGCGATTCTCCTGCCTCAGCCTCCCAAGTGCTGAGATTACAGGTGTGCACCACCACACCTGGCTCTGACTCCAGTCTTAATGTTCCATATAACATTCCAAGCAAGAATGAAGGGCCCAAGAGCAAAGACTTAGTTTTCTTCACACTCTGCCTTTCATCTGCAAAGGCAAAGCTGTCTAGGAAGTCCTCGGCAGACTTAGTCTTATTAGCTAGAATTGAATCACATGGCTGTTCCTGGCAACAAGAGAAACTGGGAAGGTGAATATTTAGGTTCTTCAGCTTCTGGGATAGGAAGCAACAGTGTTTAAGAGGTCTGGGGATGTCTCTTAGCCAACCAATAACTTTTGCCAGGGTATTGGGCATAGCATGACCGCTGCTTTCTCTGAGGATCAAGAGAGAAATCAGCAGGCTGTGGGTCAGGGAGGAGCTGGCAGGACAGTGACCTGTGTGTGTGCCCTCCACAGTTCTACCTGCTCCTGGACTGTGGGTGTCTTTGTGATGACTGTACAGACTTGACATGACTAAAGTGACTCCATTATCCTCTGGTAACTTCCTTGTTCTTCCCCCTTTCAGGCAACGTTAGGCTGACCTAGCCAAACTACACAGAATGTGAGTGGTCTAATAACAGGCTTTGGCCAAAGGGAAAAATTACTCATTTATACCCAGAGCCTATTGAGAGCTTTTGAGATTCAGCAAAAAGTTTCAAAACAAAATGTTCTTTGTTTGGTATTTTTCAATCTTCTAGAATTAGAGACTGAGTCCCATTGTGTTGTGTCCATCTGGCAGGGGGTGGAACAAGGGGAGGAACTGAACACAATGCTCAGTTTGTCTTTCCAGTGGGTAGTTTATTGGGTTGAGTGGCTGTGAATACCTCCTGCTTGTCTCTTCCCATGTTTTCAGTGCACCAGCATAGCTGTGTCTCGGAAATGGCTGGCCTTGGGCAGCTCGGGAGGAGGAGTCAATCTCATTCAGAAAGAAGGCTGGAAGCACAGGCTTTTTCTCTCGCACCGGGTAAGATCAGGGGAGCCCTGTCACACACATTCAATTTCTTTCGTAAATATGAGTTTCTCCAATATCATTAATCATTTAGAATAAAAAAAGAATGTAAAGAGATTCTAAAAGCAGTTTTCCTTTTGTGCCCTAGGAAGGTTCAATTTCTCAGGTTGCCTGTTGTTCACATGATGACGATTATGTTGCTGTAGCTACCAGGTGAGAAACAGTTTTAAAACTATCTGAACTTTTCCACATACCTTTTAAACCGGCAAGTATGTTTGTTAGGGTGACCAGTCACCTTGGGTCACCAGTACTGCCCCAGTGTTAGCACTCAAGGTCCTGTGTCCTGGGAAATCTCTCGGTACCCAGCCATGCAGTCTGGTCACCCTAGTGTTTGTGAAAACTGCTCATTTGAGGCCACAATATTTCAGTCCTTAAAAGAGAAAGGGAACAGAGATAATTTGGAACATTAAGTTTTCCTATTACACTGGTTTGGTGACTAGTACAAGGAAATTAATACCTTAACTTTTCACTTCCTTTTTTTCTGAAGTGTGTTTGCATATGTACTTATTATAGTTGATATTATGATACAGTTAAATTTTATCTTTTTCACCACTGCCAAAAATTTGCTTCAACTCTTGCAGTCAAGGTCTTGTAGTTGTTTGGGAATTAAATCAAGAGCATCGTGGGAAACCAGAACGAATTTATGTGTCTTCAGAACACAAAGGCCGAAAAGTTACAGCTCTCTGTTGGGATACAGCTGTTCTTAGAATCTTTGTAGGTGACCATGTGGGGAAAGTTTCTGCCATCAAACTCCACACTTCTAAACAAGCAAAGGTGAGAACCACTCCATTTCTTCATGTATATGGTGAGAGATAAGGTGTTGTCTTCAGAACTTGGAATTAAAGGATGCAGTTTCAGCTACTGTATTTCTTGAGTGACTGATTAAAGTCAAGACTTGGAGATTTGGAGACTTGTCTGTAGTACATTTGGTAGCCTATTTTAGTTGTTTTTTTTTTGATACCGGGGATCGAACTCGGGTCCTTGCGCTTTTGCAGCAGGCGGTGAAACCACTGAGCTAAATCCCCAGCCCCTAACCTGTTTTAGTTTGAGACCATTGCAGAATGGCTTCTATGAACTGACTTCAATTATTTGTACATTGTTTGTTGTAGTACTTCCTAATTTACCTATATGGCTCATTTAATTAAAGTATTCTATAATACAGGGATATTAACAGAGAAAAGATATCTGTTTACTAGTTGTGTAAATAAAATGGCAAATAAAGAAATGGGGGCTGGGCTTGATGGCACCTGTTTATAATCCCAGCACTTGGAAGGCTGAGGTAAGGAGATCACTGCAAGTTTGAGGCTAGCCTGGGCTACACAGTGAGACCTTGTCTCAAAGAGAAAACAAAACAAGGAAATAAACACCCCAAAATACAAAAAATGGCACCAATTTCTAGGTTTTTATTCTTCTGGCTCCTGTGTAGAAAAACTCATGGGTATTTTCTCTTAGGATGGATGTAACTAATTGGAATGAAATGCTAAAGGGACCTTCTGGCTTGGGCTTAGCTGTGCAGGACCCCAGGTTTTCCACCACAGTTATTGTTAGAAGGTTGGAGACTCATGACCTAACAGAGTGCTCTGGTCTGAGACTGAGGAAAGTCCTCCAAGGCTACTGTATGAGCAGTGGGAAATTTGTCTCTGAATGGCTTATTTCCATGTAGAATCCTGGCAGAAAAAAGGAAATCTAAATATTATTGGCTAACTTACCTATTTTAATGAACACATCAGTATATTCTGGCCTGGCCATCATGACCCATCAAAATTATCATTTGATTCCTGTGTTAGTTACTTTTCTCTCATTGCTGAGACAAAATACTCGACATCTGAATTTGAAGGGGAAAAGCTTTATTTGGCTTACAGTTTATAGTGGCTTCAGTTCATAATCGGCTGGCTTAGAGGCAGGGTGGCAGAGGGGCAATAATTCATGATGGCAGTAGCAGCCAAAAGCAACAAAAGAGACCTTAACAGTATCTTTCTGTTCCTTTTATCTTATTCAGACTACTAGATTAGGGCAGTGCCAAACCAATCACTCACAGGTGGTAGTTTAGTAATCACATGCCCTTAATCCTAGCATCATGCATTCTAGATTTAGCTATCTTCGAAAAAGACTGCATGAGGCTTTGGGGGGGCATCTAGACACAAGCCACAACATTCCGCCTCCTGGGCTCCCAAAGACTCATGCACGTCCATGTATGGAAAAGGCATTCAGTCCATCTCTAAGAGTTTCCAAAGTCCTAACAGTTTCAGCATTGATGAAAATCCAAGTCCAAAGTCTCCTCTGAGACTTAAGGCAAACTCTTAGCTGCAAACCCCTGTACAAATGAAAAGAAAGTTAAACACTTCCAACATTCAATGGCACAAGATAGACATTACCATTCCAAAAGTTACAAGCAGAGGGATACAAAGGAATGAGACCAAAGCAAGTCCAAAGTCCAACAGGGCAACATTAAATCCCACAGCTCCACTTCCAGCAACCCCGGCAATCTGTGCCAAGTTGTGAACTCCAAAGGGCTTGGGTGGCTCTGCATCTATGGCACTTCTAAGCTCCCATGGCTTCTCTTTTGGGCGGCTCTGCTCCCTCCTTACAGCTTTCCTCAGGCAATCCGTGCTCCTGGCTTCTCCAAACTTTTGAGGTCTCCACTGCACCTTCGGCTTCACACCCTCAGCTTCTTCACACACTGCCCTCTTGGGCACACTGCCTGGCCTCCCAGGCCTTCTTCTGAAATCTGGGTGGAAGCCTTCCTGAGCCCACAACTTTTCCATTCTGCATGCGCCTAAAGACATGTGGATGATACCAAGGTCAGCTGCCAGCTGGAGCAGTAGCCAGGGTTCCTTCTGTCTTGGCCGTAGGGGCCGTCTCCCTGGATCACTGAGCACTCTGAACCCAATCCTGAGGAACAAATTCTCTAGGTTGCTGCCTTTCTGGAACATGATGCTTTGGGGCTTTCGGCTCAAAGCAAAGTCTTTCATTTTTCCAATTTTGAGGCTGCAAAGGATGGAGTCCTGTTGCCTCTTGTGATCCCCTGAGGCCATCTTTTCTATTCTCCTGTCCCTTCTCAGCAATCAGGATCTCCTCTGCTCTATCTTTGTAGTCTACAGCTTTACTGGAGTTTCTCTTCTGGCCAAACTCAAAACATTTTAAATCATTCTGCTGGGGTTTTTGCTCTTGATTCTCAACATAGATCTGGCTAAAAGCCCCCAGCAGCAGCCATGCCATGACTTCAACTTTAGCCTGCCTTGAAATTTGTTCTGTGAGATTAATTAGACTGTTACCCTTAATCTGAGTCTCAGGTAAAGTCTCTGGACATGAGCAAAATGCAGACAAACTTTCTGCCAAGCCATAACACACATCATCTGCAGTCCAACAGCCAATGCAGTCCTTTTTCCCAGCAGAAACCTCCTGAGCCTGGTCTTTACTGTCTTTCTGGTCTTCTGAGCTCTGACCAGAATCTGCCATACAGAGTAGCCTAAGGTGTTCTAGCTCTACTTCTACAGCCAGCATCTCTGAATCTTTCCTAACTCTTACCCCTCCCACAAGCCAGTTCCAAAGACTCTTGAGTCACATGGCCAGGTAATGTCACTTCAATGACCCAACTCCTGGTACCAAATTTGTGTGTTAGTTACTTTTCTCATTACTGGGACAAAATATCAGACATCCAGTGTTGAAGGGGAAAAGGTTTACAGTTGGCTTACAGTTTGTAGTGGTTTCAGTCCATAATTGGCTGGCTTCAAGGCAGGGTGGCAGAGGGACAGTAATTCATGGTGGCAGTAGCAGCCGGAAGCAACAAGGGAGACCTTAACGGTATCTTTCTGTCCCTTTTATCTTATTCAGATTACCAGATTAAGGTGGTGAAAAACCAATCATTCACATGTAGTGGTTTAGTAATCACATGCCCTTAATCCTAGTATCATGCATTCTGGATTTAGCTACCTTTGAGAAAGACTGCGTGAACTAAAAAAAAAAAAGAAAAAAGAAAGAAAGAAAAAAGAAAAGGACTGCATGAGGCTTTGGGGGGGCATCTAGACACAAACCACAACAATTCCTAATGATTTTTCTTTTCTCTTTTTCTTTTTTTTTTTCGGTACCAGGAATTGAACTCAGGGCCTCGCACTTGCCAGGCAGGTGCTGCACCACTGACTCTTAATGTATTTTTTATCTAAACTCCATTGAATCTCTGTGCATAGCATAGACTTGATTTGTCTTTTTCCCAAAGAGAGAAGCACTGTCTATAGGTGAAAAATGCCATCACATTCCCAAAATGTTTTCATCTCTTTCACTTGGACTTCTAAGATTAAATAATCACAAGTAGTTATGCAAGTTATGTATCAAGTTATTTCACAAAACTTTAAATGAGTGACACTTTTATATTCTTGTAGAGAAATTAAATTTTGGCCTATTTTAAGTTTATTTTGCTGTCCAAGTTCTTTTCATTTAAAAAGTGAAGAGGACCCAGGTGCTGTAATTATGGGTTGAGAGGCTGAGGTGGGAGAATCAAAGAGTTTGAGGCCAGTCTGGGCAATTTAGTGAATCTCCATCTCAAAAAAAAAAAAAAGTGGCAAGTAGGTATTGATCCTCTGGATTTCTGCTGGGTCTGTTGTAATTTCACCCTTTTCATTCCTAATTGCATGGATTTGGGCCTTTTCTTTCCTTTTTCTGACAAGGTTGGCTAAGGGTTTATCAATTTTGTTGATTCTTTGAAGAACCAACTCTTGGCTTCATTGATTTTTTTGTATCGTTTTCTTAGTCTCCATTGCATTGATTTCTCCTCTGATCTTTATAATTTCCTCCCTTGTATGAGCTCTGGGGTTGTCCTGTTCTTCTTTTTCTAGAAGCTTGAGGTGTAGCATCAGGTTGTTTAATTGGGCTCGTTCTGTTTTCCTAATATGCGTATTCACTGCTATGAATTTCCCTCGTAAGACTGCTTCCATTGTGTCCCATAGATTCCGATATGTTGCAAGGAGTAGATTGTAAATGTGTGTTCATGTTTTAATAAAAAACACTTTATTTTCCTCTTACATCCCTTTTAGGCAGCTTCTGTCTTTGTGATGTTTCCTGTTCAGACAATAACAACAGTCGACTCCTGTGTTGTCCAGCTAGATTATTTGGATGGAAGGCTCCTTGTATCTTCCCTTACTCGAGCCTTCTTGTGTGACACTGAGAGGTATGTTAACCAACCAAAAGCCATTAGTATACAGAATTTTTGAGCTAGAAGGGTCTTAGAAGTCATCTAGGCTAAGTTAATTACACAGATATTAATAAGGAACCAGTGGAATGCAAGCTGATGTTAGAAAGTGAAGATGAGGCAGAGGACCCTGAGACAGTCTGGTATTCAGTGAACCCTGCCACAAGGCATAACGTAGGGGCCGAGAGAGAGAAAGCCTTTTAATGTGAAGTCAGGAAGAGATTTTTTTTTTGGTACCAGGGATTGAACTCAGGACCTTGTGCTTGTGAGGCAGGCCCCAGAACCACTGAGCTAAATCCCCAGCAGGAAGACATTTTTTTTTTTTGAGACAGGGTCTCACTGTGTAGTTCAGGCTGGCCTTGAACTCACTATGGAGCCCAGCCTGGCCTTCAACTAGAGACGATCCTCTTGTCTCAGTCTCCAGAGTTTTGGGATCATAGGCCTGGGCCACCATGCCTGGCAGGAAGGCTTTCTTGACTGAGTTTCTTGATGCTATTTTTAAAATTTGTGTATTTGATAGAATTTTACTAAAGGGTAAATTGATTGAAGGACCTTTGTGAAACTGACAGATATTTCAAAATGTCAAGGATGGAGCCGAAGATACAACGAATGACGAAGGAATGTCTTAGAGGTAGCTGTGAAATATCAGAACAGAATGAGAAACAGCTGTATCGCTGTACCTGAGTTCCTTAGCTAGTCTCACTGCCAGAAAAATGTTCACTGCTCCCCCATCTCCCAGCCTGGCTACTTTGTTGGCTACTGTGTTTCTCAGGATTATCCCTTCTTTTGGCAAACTTGAATGTACACAAACAAGGGAATTGTATAATGAACACTCTTGCATATCTGTTTTACACCAGAATTGTTTTTTTTTTTTTTTTTTTTTCGGTACTGGGGATTGAACTCGGGACCTTGCTCTTACAAGGCTGGCGGTGGAGCCACTGAGCTAAGTTCCCGGCCCTCTTGCATCTGTTTTAAAGAGGAACAGCTAAGAGTTAGGTTGCAGTAATGTAGAACCTACTTCAAAAGTAGTATGTTTTAGAAATGACTACTTTCTGTCAACTAGAATTCAGTTTTTGGGAGCCCAGGTAGTCCATGTTCTTAGAATGAAGCAAATACTGTATTTTATCCATAAGTATAGGAATATTTATTATCTGAGCTCATGTAGTAAACTCATGCTAGAGAGCATCTTGTATCATTCTCCAATGAAAGAGATTGAATTTGTGGGGCACTGCAGTGTACTGAGTACTTGTTTTGGTCATATATTGCACTATACATTGGTCATTCAACTAAAGAGGAATAAAGAAAGGCCTTCATCCTGGAAAACCATAATCTACCATTCAAACAGACATAATTGCCATATAAATAAAGTGTGTACTGTGAAAGCATTGTTAGGAAGCATGTTATTCGACAAATGGGGATCAAGGGAGAGTTAGAGAGCAAAGATATGAAAATAAGTAATGGGTTTTTAGAAAGAGGCAAACTCATCAGTATCACCTTCCATATTCCCAGGAAGTGTGCTAAACTCTTTTTTGTATCTAATTCATAAAATCTGAAGGGAACAGAATGTTCCACCATTCGGAGTTTCAGAATGTCCGAAGAACACTGGTTGTACAAAATGAATTGGGAAGCAATCATAGGATGCAAGGATGTATGAAATTGTTTGGAAGCATTCGCCTTTTAGATTTGCAACAAGCCTTCCCATTAATTGTAAGCCCCTCATTCTATGGATAAGAAACCGAATACATAGGTGAGGAGGTTTGCTTCCTGTTGCATAACTGTTTTGCAAGTAAACATACTTCCTTTTCCTTTCTGAATATTAGAGAGAAGTTTTGGAAAATTGGAAACAAGGAAAGAAATGGAGAATATGGAGCTTGTTTCTTCCCTGGAAGGTGTTCTGGGGGCCAGCAACCTCTAATATATTGTGCTCGTCCTGGCTCCAGGATGTGGGAAGTGAGCTTTGATGGGGAAGTTAGAAGTACACATCAGTTCAAGAAACTCCTCTCGTTGCCACCTCTTCCTGTGATTACTCCAAGGTAATAATGGGGCTGTCCCATGAGGATTATTTTAAGAATTTATATGGAAGGATTGGGTTAAAATAATTAATCTATATGACTTAAATATTTTATTATGCCTTTTTAAGAGTGAAGTCAAGTTGGGTGTGATGGTGCACGCCTGTAATTCCAGCACTCTGGGAGGCTGAAGCGGGACAATTGCAAGTTTGAGCTCAATGTGCGAAGTTTAGACTCAGAGAGACCATGTTGCAAAATAATAAAAGATAAAGGCTGGGGATATAGCTCAGTGTGAAGGCCCTGAGTTCAATTCCCAGTACCACCAGAAAAAAAAAGTCAATTTTTTCCCCCAGTGGTGGGGATTGAACCCAGGGCCTTGTACATGCCAGGTAAATGCTCTGCCACTGACTGAGGGAATTGAATAAGGGCAGACACTTTAATTTCAGTTAGAGGTGAAAATTTCTCTACATGGGTGTTGGGAAAGTATAATTTTATATTGTTTTTTTTTTTTTGGTACTGGGGATCGAACTCGGGACCTTGCGCTTGCGAGGCAGGCGCCAGAACCACTGAGCTAAATCCATGGCCCAATTTTATGTTGTGATTAAATCATTGACAGATATGTTTGCTTCCTAGATCTGAACCTCAGTATGATCATACAGTGGGATCCTCCCAGTCTTTGTCTTTCCCCAGACTCTTGCATCTTAGGTAAGTTTGCTTTTGTTTTTAATTTTTTTAATGGTGTTAGGGATTAAACCCAGGGCCTCATGGATGCTAAACCGGCACTCTATCCCTGAGTAACACCCCAGGGAGTTAGCTTTAAAAAAACTTTTTTTGGGGGCCGGGGATTTAGCTCAGTGGTTCCGCTGCCTGCCTTGCAAACGCAAGGTCCCTGAGTTCGATACCTTGTACCAAAAAAAAAAACAACCCAAAAAAACCTTTTTTTTCCTGTGGTGCTGGGAATTGAACCTAGAGCCTTGCACATGCCATTAGCCCACTCAGCCCTTTTTTCTGAGAGTCTCACTATGTTGCTCAGGCTGGCCTCAGCTCTGGACTCATGCAGTCCTCCCGCCTCAGCCTCCCAAGTAGCTGGGACTACCTGTGCACACCACTACTCCCAGCCCTTCCAGTTAGCTTTTTTTTTTTTTTTTTTTGGCATCGGGGATCGAACTCATGACCTTGCACTTGCAAGGCAGGCACAGTGCCACTGAGCTAAATCCCCGGCCCTTCCAGTTAACTTTTGAAGATTGTTTTTGCAATAAATTATTGAAAAGTTAGGGAAATACTATGTCATATGAAGTGTTCTGTATATAACAGGAATGAAGAGATTCCTTCCACACTAATTGGAGACTTAATAATTGTCAGAGAACTTCTGACTGTTAGAGTTGACAGCTATGGCACTCCTCTTATAACCTCTCTTGCCTGGTGAGATGCTGTAATGAAAGCGACTCCAGATTGAAATCTGTTACACAGATGTGTGTTTATGAGCAAGCAGACACAAAAATGTTTGTGTAACTTGTTCTTGGAAGCTCAGTAAAATTTTAGCTCTCTGCCCTTTAAATACTCTGACAGGTATCATAAATGAAAGGAAAGATCTGTTTGAGGCAAACTCAGTCATAGTCTAATTTCAGGGTTCAGTGAGTCTTCTAGTTGCATTAGGTGCAAACCCCACTATTAGGTGTCATGCTAGAGGTTGTTAGCTGCTAGGCTTTCCAGTTCTTACACCTCATTCTATATGGGTAGGGGTACAATGTATGATTTCTAGGCAATTTATTCCCATGAACTCTACTTATTTTACCAGAAAAAAAGTATTTCCAATTTCTTTTGTGCTAATTAATAAGATCTCAAAGCCAGATTGATGGAATGTTATTTAGAGGTGTTTATAGGCCACACTGAGTATGGACTCCTGATTCGGTTCTTTCAAAGACTAATTGCTCTTTGAATATGATGTTTAAAAAATGGTTGACATGTTAACCAGTTGCACCCAAGGGTAAAGTTAAAAATCAACTTATGTATGTTTTATATTACCTACACCAAAGTATTTAAAAGTGAATTATAGTCAGGCATGGTGGCATATACCTGTAATCCTAGCACTCTGGGAGGCTGGGCAGGAGGATTCTAAATTTAAGCCCAACCTGGGCAACTTGGCAACTGAGTGAGGCCATGTCTTCAAAAAAAAAAAAAAAGGACTGAGCCTGTAGCTTAGTGTGCAGGTACTGGGTTCAATCTCCAGACACACATACCAAAAAAAGAAGGTGAATTATAGACATTTTAACACTTCAGTAAATATGTAATTCATCCTGGAAGTTACTGGAGAAAGGCAGCTATTTATTTGCCCTTAATTATGTAAAGCATATTTTAAAGTCTTTCTCTGTTAGCATCTTCCTTTATGGCATTTATCACAGTTTCTAATTACGTATTCATAGAATATTCCCATTTTACCCCTAAACAGTAGGCTCCATGAGGGCTTTTTTGGGCTGCTTTGTTCAGTTATATTCTCAGTGCTTTCCTTAGTACCTGGCACATGATAAATACCTCAAAAGTATTTGTTGACTATGACGTGATATATGGGATGGCAGAGTGTGATACTCTGGTCTGGCTACATATTAGAAAGCATTCTTTCTCAGGAGAATCACATATATTCATAGTGTTATTCATTAGAAGTTGGTCATTCAGTGTTCCTGTTATAGTCCCTGCCATGCCAAACAGTCTCACAATGCTTTCTGAGGAGCTCTGCCTGCTCCTCAGCATAAGCAGTAATTAGTGCCACTTTGCTTTTGCCGAATTCTGCAGCAGATTTGAGTTAGGTACTTGTGCCCACGTCCTGCTGTCAGACTTCCTTCATGGCTCCATCATCACCACTATCTTACGGGATCATGAATATCCATTTGAGCACCACAGTACTAGGCACATGGGTGCCTAGCAAATAATAGCTAATTTGATGAAGATTTGTTATAAAAACATGAGCAGGAGGGCTTCTTTTCATAGTGTTTATTTGCTTTTTTCCCATCTGTACTTTTTTTTTTTTGAGAGTATGAGGAATGGAACGCAGGGCCTTCACATTGAGCTACATTCCAGTCCTTTTATTTTTATTTTTTATTTTGAGACTGGGTCTCTCTAAGTTGCTAAATTGTCTGTGTTGGGCTTGAAATTGCATTCCTCATGCCTCAGCTTCCTAAGAGGATTATAGGCATGCACCACCATGCCTGGCTCTCATTTGTACATTTGTGTCCTGAGGTACCTTTACCGGCACAACATACAGTAGTCTTGCAAGGGGGCATTCTTATTTACTATACTTTGTCTTCTTTGGATACATTTCTGTCATTTTTCTTAAATTTAACTTTTTAGCCATCACTACTAGTTCTTTTTCCCCAATTTATTATCAGTGAAGGGATAAGGGGATGAGGAATGTATAAATTACAGGTATCAACTCTTATCTACCCCACCCCATTTAGTAATTTAGGTTACTATTCCTAAAGACTTTTTCAAGCTGAATATCAAGTTCATTATCAAAATCATGATCTGGTATCTCTTCACTCAGGGATCCTCTTGGTTTTTTCACTTCTGCCTCTTGAAGGCAACCTTCTTAATTTTACTTTGGACTAGGATTCTGACCTTTTCTTGGTCTTCTTTGTCGACAAAATGTTTAATATTTATATGAGGACCCAAGTCCTGTTAATCACTCAATTTCATAGCTGCATGAACCATTTTTAGTACTGTTGGGGACATAAAAAAATGGTCCCAGTTCCCAAGATTATAATTTGTTGGAGAGATGTGGTTTATTGCTGCAAAATGTTTTAACAATAAAAAATGAGGGCTGGGGATTTAGCTCAGTGGTTCTGGCACCTGCCTTGCAAGCACAAGGTCCTGAGTTTGATCCCCGGTACCAAAAAAAAAAAGTTAAAAAATGAGTTGTGACTGCCAAATGTGGGTAAGTGCCCCTCAAGCAGGGCTGACAAGAAATAGGTTGAATACAGGAGGAGGCACAGTTACTATGGGCTGTGGGGGAAGATTTCAGAGGGAAATAGAACTGCTGATCTCTGAGAGGTGGCTAGAGTGAGAACTGTGAAGGTTGGGGAATGTCCTGATGATAAGAGGAGATTTTCAGGTGGAGATAGGAGAATTACAAATTTGAGGTCAACCTGGGCAACTTAGCAATACCCTGTCTCAAAATACAATAACAGCAAGGGCTGGGGACATAGCTCAGTACTCCCTGGGTTCAATCCCCAGTGCTGAAAGATAAGGGGGGAAAAAAAGAAAGAGAAGAAAGAAAGAAAAAGAAAAGAAAAGGGAGGAGCTCATTAGTGGTATATAAAAATAATAGCAACTTTGGAAAAGTGAATGAGGTATATGAGATATGCTCATGCCTATGTGAGTAAATGGCACAGAAAAAGATGAGCAGAGTTAGAGAACACCAGAACACTGGAAAGGCAGGTACAGAACTAAGAAAATATAGCATCCCAGAATCTGGGGAGATGAAGGAAAGAATGAACAGACCTATGCTTGTGAGTCAAGAAAATGGGAAATCAAGCTGGGTATGGTGGCACATGCCTGTAATTCCAGCACTTGGGTGGTTAAGGCAGGAGAACACCAGCCAGGGCACACAGTGAGTTCCAGGCCAGACTGGGCTACAAAAAGAAAAGAAGGAAGAAAGGGAGGATGGGTGGGAAGAGAATAAGAAATGATGAAGGTTGTTGGGTTTGGCAATGAGGAAATTATTACTTGAGAATTCAGTAAAGTGGAATAATTGGGATCCCAGATAACTGGGTCGGTTAGGATAAAAGAGGGAGGTAGTAGATTCTGTGAGGTATAAAGAGAAAAGTTCAGGTTCTGGAGCTAGACCTTGATATCAGTTCTGATTCTTCAGTCTTCCTGCTGAATGACCTTAGGCATATTATTTCATCTTGCTGAGCTCAGTTTTTCTTTTTCATTAAATAATGATGGCACTTCCACCTTAATGGCCAGCTACAATGTTAGATAATAGAACTCTTAATAAAGCTCCTGGACATAGTTGGCCAGGTATTTTCAACCTACACACAACTAAGTTAGAATATTACCTGTCCTAAAAGGGGCTCCATGGGGCAGTGACTGGCTGTAAAATGTTAGTCTTTAAGTGAGTCTGCCATATTAAATATGGAACTTTGATTACGTTAATAAATGTCAAGTCATCCTTAAGCCTTTCTTTTTCTAGATACTAGCTTTTTCTTTTTCTAGAAGATAGTATCTGTCTCATTTGATATTATTATTATCATTATTTCTTTTTGGTGGCAGTTGCAGACAGAATAAGTATTAAGACTAGCTTAGCTGAATCAGTTTTGTGTCTGATTTTACTTTAATGAGAGGATCTGAATTCAGAGAATTATATCATAAACTTCTATATCCTAGCAAACTTGAGTTCTTTTGATGTTTTTCTCTTGCAGTGAGCATTGTGTGCTGACTTGGACAGAAAAAGGAATTTATATTTTTATTCCTCAGAATGTTCAAGTTCTTCTTTGGAGTGAAGTCAAAGGTAATTATATTTTTCTTAAATAATTTCCAATCTCATAATTACTTGTGAAATTTAATTGTGAAGAAGTTGAAAATACAGGGAACAGTAGCCATTGTATGTGAGTAAGAAATAAAAATCAACGTATATTTTTTGGTTAAAACTAGAAATGCAGAAAATGTAGCTTTTTTAGTTTTGCTGCTTAGTACAAAGTGAGTCTTTTTGAGTCTTTTTGTACTTTGTAAAAAAAAAGAACAAGAGAGAAAGAAAGCATTGCTTACTGGTCTGATCAACATTGATTTTTTTGTGTATTAAATTCTGTAAGGATGTCCTTAAAAACTAGTTTAAGTCTTTAAAATGTTCTGCCAAAGGCAGATATTACCTCATGAATTGTTTATTGATTGATTTACATACTGGGGGGCCAGGGATTTAGCTCAGTGGCACAGCGCCTGCCTTGCAAGCGCAAGGTCCTAAGTTCGCTCCCTGGTACCGCAAAAAAAGAAAAAAAGAATATGATTTACATACTGGGTTAAAATCCATTCATTGAACATCAGGTTGTAACTCTCAGTAACACTGAAATCTGATCTCCAATGTAGATTGTCTTCTACACACCAGATTTCTTTTCAGAAAATAGCATTTTGTTTGTTTGTTTTTTGAGACAGGGTCTCATATGTAGCCCAGGCTGGCCTCAAACTCGTGATCCTCCTGCCTTGCAAGTGCTGAGATTATAGGTGTGCACTACCATGCCCAGCTAGAAAATAGCATTTCTTTTTTTTTTTTTTTTTCAGGTACGGGGATTGAACTCAGGACCTTGCTTTTGGGAGGCAGGCGTGGTGCTACTGAGCTAAATTCCTAGCAAAAATAGTATTTCAGGCTAAAGAGATGTGGTTCTTTCTCCATATCTTTTATTCCTGATATTTTTAGAATAGTGCCTAAAACGTGATTTCTTCATTGAAATACAAGTATAGAAATAGGATAGAAATAGAGATGAAATTCAGTCACGCTGAACCTTATTTAAAAATGAATTTATTAGAATAATTTCAGCCCTTGCAAAAATGGAAAAGGAGTATTTGGTTCACTTTCTGTGTGTTCACCCTTGTGCATTTGTAGATATTCAGGATGTGGCTGTCTACAAGAATGAGCTGTTCTGTTTGCACCTGAACGGGAAAGTCTCACATCTTTCTCTGCTGTCTGTGGAGCGCTGTGTGGAACGTCTGCTAAGGAGAGGTCTGTGGGTTCTGGCTGCTCGCACATGCTATCTGTTCCAAAATTCCATTGTTGCCAGCAAGGTGAGTTAGAGCTTACCTGTACATGTTCATCATGGGTTGGTAATACCATCCTAGCTTGTAGGACTGGCTTACAGAGTTGTTTATCTTTATTGGATCTTGTTATTTTTTTTTTCCAGTACCGGAGATCAAACTCAGGACTTGGGCTTGCCAGGCAGGCATAGTGCCACTGAGCTATATCCCTGCCCCCGTCTTTATTGGCTCTTGTATGTGACCTATAGATACAGCAATAAATCTTAAAAACACACACACACACACAACAGATATTTAGGAGTGGGTGGAGGTTAAGGAAGAAGATATACTTTGTGTTTTTTTTAAATGCTTTTATTTATTTATTTATTTATTTATTTATTTTTGGTACCGGGGATCGAACTTGGGTCCATGGGCTTGTGCAGCAGGCAGCAAAACCACTGAGCTAAATCCCTGGCTCCTACTTTCTGTTTTTTAAAAAATATTAATTACTCACAAACTTATTTAAATTTCAGAATTTGTTTTTAAGGGAGATGATTATATATGGTAACTCTCAAATTCTTTATCCTTCATATAATTGTGATTTCTGATTCTTTAACTAACTTACTGTCTTTTTAAAGCACCCATGAAGTTTATTTTCTTTTTTTTGTACTGGGGATCTAACTCGGGTCCTTGCGCTTGCGCAGCAGGCAGCGAAACCACTGAGCTACATCCCCGGCCCCTAATGTGTATGTTAGACATCTTACTTTTTCCCTATTCCCCCACCCTCCCTTCAACCCCTCCACCCCTCCTCATTTACAAAGACTTTGATTCCATTTTAAAATTTAAAAATTTTAAAATTCCATTCTCTACTTTCCTTTTCCCTACCCCTCCTACTTCCCCTTCCCCTTTGCCCCTTTTCTTCCTATTTCACATTATCTGTTATACCTTTTAGTCTTTATTTACACTTTCAGTTTCTCACTCTAGAGAAACTATTTGGTATTTACACATGTATGTCCTATTTATTTCACTTAAGAGTATTGCCTCAGTGTGCATACATTGAGCTATAAATGTCTCTAATTTCTCATTTTTTATGGCTGAGTAGTACTCCATTTTATAAAAAAACCCACATTTTCTTTATCCAGTTTCCAGTTG